TGTTGTGGCCATCACTGATGATGACGTAGAACACTACGTCGCGCAATCGATTGCAGTCCTCGCGTGCTGACGAGCAGGTGTAGTCTCGGTAAAAATTGACGGTACAAAAGCTGCGTTAGGATGTTCTTGTAGTCGAAGTTTTCAGTACGTAAAGTTTGTTTTCAATTTCAAGCTAGAAGTCAGTGCAGACTGGGAGGTGATGGCTTCACATGGCCAGAAAGCACACCCTGTGGAAGTCAATAGAGAGGGCGTGACGCGAACCTGGTGGTCGGCGATACACTTCCTGTTCACATTGCCTAACTAATTGCTTCCGACCGCCAGCAGTCTGCCTTAGTAAGAGTGCCAGACACGATTTGTTCGTAGTCTTCATACTATAGAGGGTTGGTTAGAGGGGGGTGGAATTTGACGGATTTTTTTATGCCACACAATAGTGGACAGCTGATTGACGTTCACATCGGCATTCATGAGGCCTTTAACGTCTGCCGGGCAAGTATCGTCGACTATGTTACCCAGAGCTGCGCATCCCATTTTGCGAACGCGTTCCGGCATCTTTGTGAGAACATGACTGATACTGACGCGTAGTGATAACTTCTGACTGCTATTTGTTTATGGTAAGGGAAGAGGAAGTTAGGTCGATCTTCTGCGACCTTTCGCACTGTAAAATGTCTGATTCGGACTGCCACGAAGCGGTAAAGATCATGTTTTGGGTGGAGGGATGGGTCTGCTAACTAGGGAAAGTACGTTTTTTTTTCAGAATTGGGGTCCGGTTGATTTGCGTCCCTTGCGTAACCTGCATGACGTCTGCCCAATGCAGCATCCTAGTTGTTTATTTTACATACGATGCCAAGAGCCCGCGAGTATGGTTCGCACATGTATAGGCTTCATGTTGGTCACTGCGTGCACTTGGCTAAAACCCTTTTGAATTTTTTTCGGCAGTAAAGCGTGAAATATGTAAGAGGGATGTGTCAGTTCTGCGCTAATGTCCCAACTGAAGGCAGAGTTACTGATCGTTTTCCGCCCTGTGCGCACGTGTATTTGGGGAGCTTACAGATCTTACGCGTACGCGGAGTGTTGTTTCACGCAATACACTATGTTCGTCTATTAATCCGGAAGTCGCAGTGGGGATGAATCATAAATCGAAGATTAACGTGGTTACAGCCGATAAGTCAGAGATGACCATTTCCAGTCTCCCTTGTCTTTTCTGGGACCCGCTTCTGCGTATATTCCTGGTCGCTATGCAATGGTCGGTGCTGTCTCTTTACAACTACCCCTCCCCCAAGTACAGTAGGATTAAAAGATTCGGTATCTCGTCTTCGGCTGAAAATTCCACCATGCTTGCAGATGAGTTAGTATTTCGCACATTCCTGTCCCACCAACGGTTCTCTACCAAGGCGTGCGTGCACCGTGTAGTCCCAATCACGGAACCTTCGTCCATAAAGTACTGGTCAATACAGAAATAAAAGGGCCCCTTGGGCCTTAAATGTACAATTTATTTTTTCTTTTAGAGTTTCACTCCTCTTAGACATCCTTCGGAGGCACATCTATCGCAGGGGGTTAAGTGAGTTAAACAATGGCAACTGCGATCTTCAGATCATGGCTATTTGGTAGAGAAGTCAGTGGAGGCTAGAATAGTAGGGATAGTTTATTGTGTACACAGGAACGGAGAATAGATGGAAAAGTCTTGGCCTCGGAGAGCACGACCAACCAGGCGGCAGGCCGTGTCCGAAAGGCGGTAATATTTACAAGGGCCCATAGCGAGCATTGGGTGAGCTAGCCTCAGGCTGTTGATTGGGCGACCATTGTGGGGTGCGTGCATACGCCGCAGCTGCCCGAGGGCAAGGGTTACGCCTCGTATGCGGACATCGGCCACCGCGCTGGGTCAAGCGACTGGGCAGTCAAGATTGCCCTGCGAGACGACATCTGTGGCATCTCGCGTTTATAGAAGGTGGGCTGCAGCACCGCTACGCATCTATACAGTCAGGGCATGGTCTAGTGTCATTTCTCTATGTTCTAAGTATCGATATTGGGTGTTTCGTAACCTCGGGCTCCCACGTTCACTTACACATTCACTGAATATATCATCCGGGGCCGCTTAAGAGAAGAAAGTCTACAGAGGCATTCCTGTGAACGCTTGTAGCTAAGGAGTAGATGAGAAGAAGATTCGATCGCTGGGACAACACTTTTATTCGCCTGACGTTTCGAAGTCCGTCGCGGATTCTTCATCAGAGAC